TCCGCACCGCTTGCGAGCTGTACGCGCTTTCCGAGGAAAAAAGCTCGATCGAAGGGAACAGGCCCGAGGGTGGACCGGACCCGATCGAACACGACCCGTGCGCTCCCCCTCCCGTCCGCTCCCATTCGTTTGCCTGTCCACGTGCACGCACGTGAAAACGAGATTTGCTCGCAGCCGGCCGGCCGACAACGTGTAAAACCGACTCACCATGGCCGGAGGGTGGAAACGAGGATTAAGGAGCTCTCCCGAGCGGGCTTACGTTCCAATGACATGAAAAACAAGTATGGGCGGAGGCACGAACCAGGCAGGAACCAGCCAGGAACAGTGGCGTCGGGATTTATTCAATTATTACTGCTTCAAAGTGTTTTTCGCTGATGCTGCGCGAGCCGGTGAACCTCTGTCGGACGGATCCCCGTTGTAATGAGGATGCATAATTAGCTTGTCGGGAAAGTTTCTACCGATTTTTACGCAGCTTTGGGCTAATAATACTTTATTGTGCCCACCGCTGTGAATCGCGAATACGCCGCCGGTCCCGCGGATTATTAGGCTGTCGCGAAAGTTCTTTTCGTTTTCGCTTTGTGTTTGTTTTTTTTTCTTTTTTCTTTTTTTTTAAGCGAATCGTTTATTCGGTCGGACCACAGTTCTCTGCGGTCTAGTTGATTAGAATCTCGAGGCCGAGTCGAACGACGGGGTCTGGTGACGTTGATGACCGCGAGTATCACACGCGTAGACAATTGAACCGTTTATTTTGAAAGTGGCGTAAGTCAGTTTTTCAAAAACATGTAGTAGTTAAAATATAGAGTTAAAATGTAGAAATGTCAGGAAAACATTACACTCTTTCGGTCGTTGTCCTTCTAGAACGTGAAGTTATTTTTGATTTCAAATTTCTCAGTCGATTTTAATCTTTTAGTTAAATCAATTACTAATTATCTTAGTAAACGAGTGTAATTGAAATACAATTCAGTTGAAGTATAATGTAATTGAAATACAATTCAGTTGTAGTATAATGTAATTGAAATACAATGTAATTGAAATACAGTGTATTTGAAATACAACGTAATTGAAATACAACGTAATTGAAATACAACGTAATTGAAATATAAATGTAATTGAAATACAATGTAATTGAAATACAGTGTATTTGAAATACAACGTAATTGAAATATAAGTGTAATTGAAATACAGTGTATTTGAAATACAACGTAATTGAAATATAAATGTAATTGAAATATAAATGTAATTAAAATACAATGTAATTGAAATACAGTGTAATTGTGTGTGTGAAATACAATATAATTGAAATACAGTGTAACTGAAATACAGTTCTTCAAATTACAGTCTAGAACAAATAAGAAGCGAGATACATTTTCACGTTTTCCAATTAAATAAACAATTCGATTATTATTTGTAAATGTAATATTAATTTAATTTGTGTAATTCATTATTTATTGAAGTGACTGTATACACAGGGGATACAACAATAATATCATTCTGTCTAAAACGATCACATGTTTTTCGTCAGCCTCCCATAATTTTAATTCAATTACATCGTGTAACTGATGTAATTTAATTATCAATTACATTTCGATCTAATCGATTGAAGATCTTACTTACGTAATTGATGTATAATTCAATTATCAGTCACATTTCAATTTAATCGAACGAAGACCCTACTTACGTATTGCAATGATGCAATCGAGTTACAATGGAATTGAAAATAAAATAAAATAATTATAATTTCTTGAATAATTCGTACGCAAATTCTGCACAGAACTCTGCTTCCGAAAATACTCCACCGAGTCATGGATCAAAAAATTGTCGCGATCAACATGAAGCTACACCTCTAATAAAGTCACACGATAAAGCCATTAGATCCGGAAAGGAGCAATTATGAGCGGAGATCTGGATCCGGCTCCTCAGGCCCCGCACGCGATCCTTCTTTATTTCTGACCCGATGTCGCGATGGGACGCGTTAATCTCTCGTTGAAGAGCCTCGGTGAATTGGATGATTCAGGTGAAGTTTGCCGGGAGTACATACTCGGCCGTGCTGGGGGGGAGGGGGAGGGGGTGGCGTCGCTATCTCCTGCCACGGCATGCGAAGGGGTGGGAAACCCTTCGGGCTGTGTTGGCAGGGGTTCGATCCCTCGGCGCACGTTAAGCCTCGTTCTCACCGTTACGCTCGGAGAGAAGCTACAGTCGCGTTTGACAATAAACGACGCCCACCCGCACGAAATTCGCAGCGGGCGCGGACCGGCGACGACGCGACGATGCCGGGCGGACTTAACGAATTCAATCAGCGGCGAGAGCACCATCGGGTCCGGCCCGTTTTAATAAGGACACAACCATTTTTCTGCCGCTGACACGCTCTAGGGTGGTCTCTAATCTCGAGCCTATTGTGTTTTCGAAGCTGATACTTGTTTAACCCTTAAATGCATGAATTAATGAATTTTATTTAAAAAATAGGGTTATAATTTTTCAAATGAGTGGAAATCGGGAAAAATGTTAAAAAAAATTATAAGTCATATCTTATAGGGTTTTTATTGAAAAATATTAATGATTCATTTTTGGTACACTATGCAAAATAGACATAAAAATTCTTTAGTTAGTATGACATATCTATAACAAAATTATAAACCACATGCATACCACACCAAAACAAAACCAACAAACCAATAAAGGAAGCATAGTACTAAATACATGTCGTAATTATTACCATTAGTGCATGTTGTCCCATTTTTGCATCAACACGAAATAAGCCCTCCATACACATGATAGTTACGGAATATAGACAAAAGTACTAGCAAATTAATAAATAAGAGCCTTACCTTTAGAAAATATTGTTT